TAAATAAAACACACGTGTTACTCGTGAAAAATTACCTTATTCTACATAAATTAAATTAAGTTTTAATTTTTAAATCAGAATTAATGATTATCTTTGCTGAAAGGTAATTAAATAATGAATACAGTTGTCATGGAATTTTAATTTTTTTTTAATATTAGTTCTGAGCTTGTGATCAATGTGTGTGAATTAAAAACACAGTTAAAAAGTGATTAGCAATCATTTAAGCCAATATTTCCCAGAGGCGTTAATATAGTTATGAGGAGGGCCCTCGGGATTATCATACTATACTGGAGTGGCAGTTTTATTACAGGAAAGGGATTATATGATCACAAGTGCAAAATGGTGATCAAGAAACCTAATCTCAATGAAATGACCGAAACTATTTCTGTAAAAAAATTAAAATTTGTCCTAAATCCAAATTTTCATTTAGGACAAATAGCTTTCAGTTTAGGTCATGACTGGCAAATATGACCGTTTCCAGACCCTTGCTTATTACTACAAAACTCAGATCAATAACAAATTTGGGTAGCGTCACTTTTACCGTTCTTCAATTGTCACTTTATAACTTTATATGATATGTAAGCAGGGGCATCATCTGTGTCCCATGGACACATTCCCATTCATTTTTTTAAAACATCACGTGAAACCTGATCGCTTCATCACTATTACCTGTTTTACTCAAGATCCGCTTTCATGGGGAAAATACTTTAAGATCAATTTAAAACAAACAGTAAAAACCAAAAATTTGCAAAAATGAATACAACTTTCCATGTTAAACTGTTGTAGTTTAAACAATTCTCGCCCGTTTTTCAAGTTTTTTACACTATTAAATTTCTTTCAAAAGTTAAAGTTTTATATGATACAGGGCCACCATGTTAATTAATAAACTAGGTATTTCCCACAGGTGCTTTTTAATTACCAGACTCAATAAAATCACGTGACTGAAGAAATTCCAGATGCTATTTTACAACCGCGGTATCACATATAGTTACCAAAGGGGTCTTGCCCCTGTGACAATAATTGAATAAATCCTATGACTATCATATAGAGCTCTGCAGGTCATCAATACATACTAATTAACAGTTGTTTTTCCTTTACATTTTACTTCCATTGGTTAACTTAACATGGTATGCAGTTGCATCAAGGGCTGGGGTGTATCATATACCAAAGTCAGGTCACTCTGACCTTGGCTTTGACCTTTGACCCCTATGATAGTAAAACCTTGTCCGATTTGTGTCCTGTGCATAACTTTTGTACTGTGAACTAAAAGGTGACCAAACTTGGTATGCTTATGCATCATGGGATAGGGGTGTGTCATATATAAGTCAGGTCACTTTGCCCCTATGATACAGCTGTAATAATTGTCTGTTTTTAGGTTTGGTGCATAATAGCACTCAGATTGACAAAAAAATATATATATGCAGAAGCATCATGGAACCAGAATGAGTCTAATACCAAAATAAGGTCACTCTCACCTTGATGTTGATTACCCTTTTGTTGGAAGCAAAATGTCTCAAAATATCATTGTCCGAATACTGAATTTTACAGCAGCAGCTAAAACGCATGTATGGGGGTATTAGTCTCACTAAGAAGACAGCTCTAGTTAAGACTTGTAACCATGGTAACAGCAATATTTTACTCTATAAACCAATTCTTTGTATTTCCACTCTTATATATGATCTCCACATTATATCATCTGCTCTCACTTGACACATTCATAATGGTGTCTGTAAGATGTATGTCCTTGTTTAGGCAAAAAGAAGGTTCTTATGGTGTGGTCTCTGTATTGTCCTTCTTTACATAGTGAGGCAGCTAGTCTCACATACAACCCTCCTCTCACATCCAGGCTTGGACCCAGGCAATGGCAGAAAACCTTAAGTGTATGATTGAAAATTAATCAGTTGTGAAGATGGGCTGCATGCATTTCCCTGAAAAGATGACAAGATGTATCCAATAAAATCTTTTAATTTTTTTTACAAAATTGCTAATGGTTCTAGAAGTAAATAAAGCTTCATGGGATTCAATGTTATGTACAGTTTGCCTAAGCTTCATGGGATTCAATGGTTTGTACAGTTTGCCTAAGCTTCATGGGATTCAATGGTTTGTACAGTTTGCCTAAGCTTCATGGGATTCAATGGTTTGTACAGTTTGCCAAAGCTTCATTGGATTCAATGTTTTGTACAGTTCGTCTAATCTTCATGGGATTCAATGATTTGTACAGTTTGCCTAAGCTTCATGGGATTCAATGTTTAGTACAGTTTGCCTAAATTAGTTTTGTATTTCAAAACATAGCCTCCAATATTCAGTTCAACATTCAAGAATATTATTAATACATTTCATTTTCTACATGTTAACCTCATTCAAACAGATGGGGAAGGTGGGGTTGTTTGATTGCTCTCAAAAAAGTTTAAGCAAAGCCTTTTTAGCATAAGTTGCATATACAGTTCTGCCAACTTTTAATAATACAAATGCGTGAGATTTGGCCAAAATCGTAAAGATCAAAGAGAAAAAACAATAGATCAAAGGAAAATGCCGCCAAATAAGCATGAAAATGCGTGAGTCTCACGCTAAATGCGTGAGACTTGGCAGCCCTGCATATATATGATCAGTTTGTATTATATAAAATTCTTTTCATTCTGCACAATATGTTTAAATGATTTAACATCTGAAAAAGACAAATAAAAATTGTAGATTAGGCTATCATTATAAAAATAAGAAGATGTGGTATGATTGCCTATGAGACAACTCTCCACCAAAGACCAAATGATGTAGAAGTTAACAACTATAGGCCACTGAATGGTTTACTAAAAATGCATCTCTTTTATGTTATCATTGCTTGAAAAATTAAGGAGATGTGGTATGATTGCCAATGAAACAACTATCTACCAGAGTTTAAATGATGTGGATTTAAGCAACTAAGTGTTACAGCTCGCCCTTAAAAATTAGCAAAACCCATACATATAGTCAGATAAGGGCTATTCCATTAAAACGTATGTGGGAGGGTAGGAAGGGACTTTCAAAATATCCCTACAACCAAGAACCATTTAGATAATTTTGCATAATGGTAATAGACGCATACTGAAAAAAGACCCATGACCAACATTTAAAAATTAAATTCCCTTCCTACCCTCCCACATACATTTTAATGGAATAGCCCAAAACAAGGTCCTGACATTGGGTCATTTAAAAAAAAAAGGTGAATTTTGAAATTGCAAAATTGAATAAAAGTTACTAGTTTAAACCACTCTCTTTATAAGCAAATCAAAACAAACAATACTTTTGGAACAACATATTAAAAAATGCAATCTTAATATTGTCATACAAGAATACATTGAATTATTTTTTGATAGGTGGTGTAATATTTTGTCTTTCCTGTTACCATTTTCAAAAGGATTTTTCTGCTATTTAGAAAAGGTCTCAATAAAATTTAAGCTTGTTTTTCATGGCCAATAAGGTGGTTTTCAAGAACAAAACATCTATATATTTTCATGTATACATAGATTGTTTGTCAATTTTCCATGTTGTACTGAAAAATACCTCTATAAATTGGTTTTTAAAGGTTTTGAAAATAACCATCAGCAATGTAAGTCAAAGATAGCAATTCGTAATATTCAGAATTTTTTCTCTTTCTAATAAACCCAACATTAATTAAGTAAATCCCTAATTATCCTGTTACTGATAGCAGTAGTGCATTTTGTGTGTGCTCAATTGAGAAGATAAATAAGTTTTAACCTTTAAATGAGTTCAAATAACCAACCATTTCATTATGTGAAAAAAAAATGTATGTAATTATATACTTTTCGAAGATGTTTCTGTCAAATATTGTCTATAATGTTACTGTAGTAACAGGATAGACAAATTTCTATATTTCTAAATTCATGTGTGAAATAACTACTCCCTTTGATGCAGTAATGGTGTTTTTATGCCCCACCTAGGGGCATTATGTTTTTCGGTCTGTGCATCCGTTCGTCTGTCTGTCCGTCTGTTTGTCCGTCTGTCCCGCTTCAGGTTAAAGTTTTTGGTCGCTTCAGGTTAAAGTTTTTGGTCAAGGTAGTTTTTGATGAAGTTGAAGTCCAATCAACTTGAAACTTAGTACACATGTTCCTTATGATATGATCTTTCTAATTTTAATGCCAAATTAGAGTTTTGAGCCCAGTGTCACGTTCCACTGAACATAGAAAATGATAGTGTGAGTGGGGCATCCATGTACTATGGACACATTCTTGTTCTTCTGTGGTCTTGGTTTCCAACACATAATTGCACTTTTTTCAAGTATAATATAATTAATAAATTTGTTGGTAACAGCAAAGACAGAATAAAATAGTTTGCACTTATTTTTTCACTAAATGTCTTGAATTTTCTTTTTTCTACACTGTTATACAAGAAACATGCCGTGTTCAATTTTTAGGATGCTTTGTGCTTTTGAAATCATCAGCGAATAGTTCCATATTGAATTTCACAGAGAGAAACAATTTACTGGTTAATCTTTTATCGGTTAATGTATAGACATGTATTTCATGTAGCTGGTTGAATTAATTTGTAGACAAAATGTTACATATAATAATAAAGAAGCTGTGATTTTTCATTAGAGTTATCATAAACTTTTTAAAAAAAAATTTTTTGCAGATTTCAATGCAATCAGAAAACAGGAAAAAATCATTTGAAATTTGTTACCCTGACGCTGTAAGCACATAAATTACGCAAAAATCTGACTTAAAATCATTTTATTCTGAATTGTGTATATCATTGATTTATCAATGTATATAGACTCATAAATCCTACAAACTTTCATTTAAACACTTACAACTACCTTTTTCATTAAAAATTAAAATTTTAGCATAGGTGTACTGAAAATTTCAACATTTTTATTAAATGACCCACATGACTAGCTGTGAAATAAATCAAGCGAGAAAACTGACAGCTTAATTTATTAAAAAAAAAATATGACCAACATTGAGTCAACCTTATAAGTTTTAAACTTTTTATTTTATTTCAAACAGGAGAAAGAGGAGAAGGTGAAGATGCTGTGATAATAAAACGGTGATAAGACAGACTTCAAAATATTCAGTCTTATTTATTTGTCAAATCATGGTGATTAAGAGGGAAGTGAAGGCTTGCACGGACAGTAGAATAGTACAAAACAAGAGGAAATATTTTATTTTCAAAGACATTCTGAACTAGTTTGTACATGTATTTCTGTTTTGTAGATTTATATATTTGATAATATTATTTGAATGTATGCTATTCATTGTTAGTCATGAATATAAAGAAGAGACTGCCTTTTAAAAATTTTAAATTGTCTGTCTTCGTTTTTATGTCTCAAAAATGTATAAATGATAAGAATTTTACATTAAATTTACTTTTGTATATATATTGTTAATAATTTATAGTTTTATAATAAACATTGGTGAAATTTTTTGATTTTTGGTCAGAAAGATGAAGTCCAAAACCAGCTTATAGTATGGGGATGTTGGGAAGACGGGTGGTCGAGGAAAAGTGGGTACCTTGATTGTGTAATGAACTGCTATATTTTTCAACCCAGATCCCTGAAACTTCACAGGAAGATTGCACATGTGTTGGAAGATGTGAACCTGCTATTATGGAATTTTCTCATTTTTCCAGACTTGGGAACTAAGTCCTTTTTCAGAAAAATTTATTAAAGGGGGTACAAGTTTTCAATTTCTCTTACAGTTTTCAACCAAGATCACTAAGACTTGACAGACAGATTGTACACATGTTCTTCTTTCGCCTTCATTTTATTACAACTACATTGTAAACATTCTACATTATTATAAGTCACAATTATTACAACTACATTGTAAACATTCTACATTATTATAAGTCACAGATATTACAACTACATTGTAAACATTTCTCGAGAATTTCTCGCTGCATTGAAGACCTGTTGGTGACCTTCTGCTGTTGTCTGTTCTATGGTCGGGTTGTTGTCTCTTTGACACATTCCCCATTTCCATTCTCAATTTTACATTATTATAAGTCATTACAGCTACATTGTAAACATTCTACATTATTATAAGTCACAATTATTACATCAACATTGTAAACATTCAACATTTTTATAAGTCATTGCAACTAAATTGTAAACATTCTACATTATTATTAGTCTCAGATATTACAGCTACATTGTAAACATTCTACATTATTATAAGTCACAAATATTACAACTACATTGTAAACATTCTACATTATTATAAGTCATTACAACTACATTGTAAACATTCTACATTATTATTAGTCTCAGATATAACAACTACATTGTAAACATTCTACATTATTATTAGTCTCAGATATAACAACTACATTGTAAACATTCTACATTATTATTAGTCTCAGATATAACAACTACATTGTAAACATTCTACATTATTATAAGTCTCAGATATAACAACTACATTGTAAACATTCTACATTACAACTACATTGTAAACATTCTACATTATTATAAGTCATTACAACTACATTGTAAACATTCTACATTATTATAAGTCACAAATATTACAGCTACATTGTAAACATTCTACATTATTATAGGTCACAAATATTACAACTACGTTGTAAACATTCTACATTATTATAAGTCACAATTATTACATCTACATTGTAAACATTCTACATTATTATAAGTCACAAATATTACAACTACATTGTAAACATTCTACATTATTATAAGTCACAAATATTACAGCTACATTGTAAACATTCTACATTATTATAAGTCACAAATATTACAACTACATTGTAAACATTCTACATTATTATAAGTCATTACAACTACATTGTAAACATTCTACATTATTATTAGTCTCAGATATAACAACTACATTGTAAACATTCTACATTATTATTAGTCTCAGATATAACAACTACATTGTAAACATTCTACATTATTATTAGTCTCAGATATAACAACTACATTGTAAACATTTTACATTATTATAAGTCATTACAACTACATTGTAAACATTCTACATTATTATAAGTCATTACAACTACATTGTAAACATTCTACATTATTATTAGTCTCAGATATAACAACTACATTGTAAACATTCTACATTATTATTAGTCTCAGATATTACAGCTACATTGTAAACATTCTACATTATTATTAGTCTCAGATATAACAACTACATTGTAAACATTCTACATTATTATAAGTCATTACAACTACATTGTAAACATTCTACATTATTATAAGTCACAAATATTACAGCTACATTGTAAACATTCTACATTATTATAGGTCACAAATATTACAACTACGTTGTAAACATTCTACATTATTTTAAGTCATTACAACTACGTTGTAAACATTCTACATTATTATAAGTCACAATTATTACATCTACATTGTAAACATTCTACATTATTATAAGTCACAAATATTACAACTACATTGTAAACACTCTACATTATTATAAGTCACAATTATTACATCTACATTGTAAACATTCTACATTTTTATAAGTCATTACAACTACATTGTAAACATTCTACATTGTTATAAGTCACAAATATTACAACTACATTGTAAACATTCTACATTATTATAAGTCACAATTATTACATCTACATTGTAAACATTCTACATTATTATAAGTCACAAATATTACAGCTACATTGTAAACATTCTACATTATTATAAGTCACAAATATTACAACTACATTGTAAACATTCTACATTATTATAAGTCACAAATATTACAACTACATTTTAAACATTCTACATTATTATAAGTCACAAATATTACAACTACATTGTAAACATTCTACATTATTATAAGTCACAAATATTACAATTACATTGTAAACATTCTACATTATTATAAGTCACAATTATTACATCTACATTGTAAACATTCTACATTTTTATAAGTCATTACAACTACATTGTAAACATTCTGCATTGTTATAAGTCACAAATATTACAACTACATTGTAAACATTCTACATTATTATAAGTCACAATTATTACATCTTCATTGTACACATTCTACATTATTATAAGTCACAAATATTACAACTACATTTTAAACATTCTACATTATTATAAGTCACAAATATTACAACTACATTGTAAACATTCTACATTATTACAAGTCACAAATATTACAATTACATTGTAAACATTCTACCTTATTATAAGTCACAATTATTACATCTACATTGTAAACATTCTACATTTTTATAAGTCATTACAACTACATTGTAAACATTCTACATTGTTATAAGTCACAAATATTACAACTACATTGTAAACATTCTACATTATTATAAGTCACAATTATTACATCTACATTGTAAACATTCTACATTAGTATAAGTCACAAATATTACAGCTACATTGTAAACATTCTACATTATTATAAGTCACAAATATTACAGCTACATTGTAAACATTCTACATTATTATTAGTCTCAGATATAACAACTACATTGTAAACATTCTACATTTTTATAAATCATTACAACTACATTGTAAACATTCTACATTATTATTAGTCTCAGATATTACAGCTACATTGTAAACATTCTACATTATAATTAGTCGCAAATATTACAACTATATATTTTTTTTAGAGTTTTATAGTTTTTGAGAATTTCAAAATAAATTTTGTAGTAGTTGCATTTAAAAATTCTGCGAGGCACTAGTGGCTTTTTGTAATAAAAAAAGAAAAAAAGATACCGGTCATTGTGCATATTCACATTTATTTCTGCATACTTTAGTGAAATTGTTTCAGTTAACTGCGTGGGTAGGTTCTTGGTCAACATTATAAGGTGGTGAAAAGTCTGGAAAGGTTTCATTACACCTATGGCCCAGAAAATACCCACATCCTACCTGTATGTGCAAACCGAAAACAAGAAAAGTTTTTACCATCAAATTTTAGTTTTTATATAAAAATTAAAGAGTTATCTCCCTTTTAGCATAGTTTGACTAAAATTTTATTGATGATATTATTATGGTGGAAGTTAATATGTTTTTTCTCTCATTTGCTCTTTCACAGCCTATCTACAATAAAGTAGTCTTTAGACAAATATCACAACTATTTATGATGTTAATAAATTGTGAGATTATCTTTTGAAAACATCCACAGGTTTACATCTCAGTCATCAATTCAAGAACCAGTAATCCATGAGGAATCAAACTTGACAAGAATGATTTTTGAAAAACCATTTTAGAATAAAAATAGAATTGTAATGCCATTCTGAAAGTAACTACAGAGGCTCTAGAGAGCATGTAACTATGTTGTTTACTAGTATTCAAAGGATTGATTAGTTTACATGGATCTTATCTAAATTTACGGGGTTTATTAATTTATTTTCAAAGGTTATCAATCTAACACAGTAGTAAAATCTTTAAATATTGTTTTTATTGGTATTAACATTGATTTTGTTTTAAAAAAATTGAAACATAACTAAATATATATCCCTATGAACACTCAACAGTTAAGAGTTAAAACAGTTAAATCATGATCCTACATCCTGTCAATACTGTTATAACTTATATTTTGGCATAGCACAAGGTCATGCATTTCTCAGACTGTTTATGATGTCTTTACACTAAATCCGATGGATGTGTACTGATTGATTCTTTAGTCACGGAGTACATAATTTTTTATTACGCGGTAGTTGTAATTAGCTTTGAACTAGCTTTCAGTAACTGCAAGTTCTTTTACTTCGGTGCTTTTAGTTCAGCAGCTAAGTCCAATATTTTGGCACAATTGATCACTTTATGGTAAAAGCATGAAACTTTGCACAGTGTTAGTTATGATGTTTTTAAACATTTTTGGTTGGGAGCAATCTAAAAAATTCCACAATGGCCGCCAATAGTAAAGAGGCAGAGTAAAAAAAAATGGTTTAATTAATCATTTTGAAATAAAAGCATAAAACTTTGCTCAGTGCTAGTTATGATGCTAATAAACCTTTTCTGAATATTGAGCAATCTAAAATAAAATCCATAATGGCAGGCAAATTCAAAATGGACGCCAATAGTCAAGAGGCAGAGTCCCAAAAAATGGTATAACTGATCTCTTTATAGTAAAAACATGAAACTATGCACAGTGTTAGTTATGATGCTAATGATAATTTTTGAATGTAAAACCATTAAAAAAAAATCCATAATTGCCGACAAATTCAAAATGGTCGCCAAGGTGTGCTTTGCAAAACCTTTAGGAATTTTAGGTCCTCAATCTTGAACTACATACTTTTTAGTCTTTTCAAGGATTTGTATATCTTTTTAACTTTTTCCATTCAAGCGTCACTGATACGTCATTTGTAGACGAAACGCGCGTCTGGCATACTACAATTATCTACAAGGAATATATAATAGTATTTAAACCAATTTGCGATCATAGTTCTTACAACATTGCTACAGAAAAGACGTTCATGATATCA